TGAAGACGGAGAGAAGGAAAGGGAAAGGTGGGAAAGTGGGAGGGGGATAAATGAGAAGTAAAGAGGGAAATGAGGGTAAAAAGAAAATGTAACGACGAGCGAATGATGGAAAATGAAGATGATAATTAAGGGAGAGTAAGGGCTGGTTGAAACTGGAGACAAATAAATGAGTGGGAAAGAGGGAGCTGTTAATTGAATAATGAGAAACAATAAAGAGGACTGAGATAAGAGTGCGATTGAGAATGAGTACAGTGAGACAGAAAGTGAACAGTGAGAGAGAAGAGGAGAGAGAGAAGAGAGAGAGCAGGAGAGAGAGAGAGAGAGCAGAGGAGAGAGAGAGAGAGGAAGAGAGAGAGGAGAGAGAGAGAGAAGAAGAGAGAGAGGAGGAGAGAAGAGAGAGGAGATTGAGAGACGAGAGGCGAGGAAGAGAGAGAGAATAGGGGAGGGAGGGAAGAGAGAGAGAGAGGAGAGAGAGACGAGAGAGAGGACGAGAGAGAAGGGAAGAGGAGACGAGAAGAGAGAGCAAGAGAAGCAAAGAGAGGACGAGAGAGAGAAGAGAGAGAGAGTAGAAAGAGAAGATCAAAAGAGAGAGACGAGAGAGAGACAAGAGAGACGAGAGAGATTGAGAGAGAGGAGAGAGAGAGGAGACGCAGAGAGAAAGAAGGAGAGAGAGGAGGGCAAGAGACGAGAGAAAGAGAGAGCAAGAGAGAGAGAGAGGAGAGAGAGAGAGAGACTGAGCACGATGAGAGACGAGAGAGGAGGAGAGAGGACGAGAGAATGAGACCCTGGAGAAGAGCAGAAGAGAGAGTCGAGAACGAAGAAGACGAGAGAAGATTTGAGGATGACGAGAGCATGGTAGGAGAGCAGAGAAACGAGAGAGAGAGAGAGAGAGAGAGAGAGAGTTTGTTTTGTGTCCACCTAGCCTTAGTTAAATTAAAAATGTACATATCGATATATTTTTTACCAACAAATGAAAGTCACGATTGTTTCAAAGATTGTAAATATACATTTCCAGATTATCTCATTTTCTGAACTTCTTGACACAATCCTCATTTATGTATATATGACTCCTTTGTAAATTTCATTAATGTTGTAATCACGCTGATTATCATTACTCGAATGTTGATACACTAAAATTTCCTTCAAAGAAAGACCGTTAATACTAAACTCATGTGATGTTAAATGTTTAATTTTACTCAACAAAGCAACTTTGATTAATGTGTCACTTAGAAGGAAATTTTACTGTCTTTGAACGATTTCGATCCAGTGACGTAAGTACGCCGAGAAAACACGTCTGGAACATGTTAGAGAAGGCGTGGTTGCCTGCAGTGCTTAACATGGCGGATGGCTTCTTGTGAATGAATACACTGTTTATTAGCACTTAATAATTGTCTTTTTTATAGATCATAACGTAATAATAATAATAATATAATAATAGCAACTTGATCCTGTCATTGTTGAATTAATGACACAAGCTTTGCCGGATGTTAAGTGTGTGGCTCGCGTGCCCCGAAGGGAGGGGGCGCTGATGCCTCGTAGCCACGGCATAGTCTGTCCCCGCCCCCCCTCCTTACCACATGTTTGGCACGAGTGTTGGACCCCGCCCACAGGTCCCCCAGGATGCAGCGCCGCCTCTACAGGAATGCGCAGTCCGAGGGCGTGCGGCCGTCGCCCTTGGCTGCGCAGCCCTCGCAAAATGCCACCAATGCCACGTCAGGGCAGTCGTCGGCGCCCCTGGGAATGCCGGTCCAGGTTCTCCCTATGCCGGGCATGCACATGGGGCCGCAGCAGCAGCAGCAGCCACAGCCACAGCCCAAGGAACCTCCCAAGCCCAAGAAGAATGTGTGTGGCCCTCCGCCGCCGCCGCCGCCCTTCGCTGTGTCGCCAAACTCTTCCTATACTCCCTCTGTCGCCTCGCCTCCTGTGATCACTTCCCCGCCCTTAGACTTCTCCCCCGTGGCGCCTCTGCCCCAGCTGGCTAAGGAGCCGGGCCCCTCCATACCCGCGGCTCCCCCCATGCCCCTTCAGGCACCTACTGCCAGAAGAGGGTCGCTGATCATTTCCTCGCCGCCCACTTCGCCGCTTATCAGCAGCGGCTCCAGTGACTTCTCGTCGCCGCCTCCGCCGCTGCCGCCGCCTCAGCCCGTGAAAGTGCCGGTCACTCCACCGATTATGCCGGCACCTCTCGAGCCTCCTTCGATACCTCCGCCGCAACAGAAGCCAGTAATCGAGCCCCCACAGATGCCTGTTCCTCTGCCCAAGGAGGAATCTCCTGAAGAAGAAATCTTCTCAGATGAAGAAGAGGAATACAGCTCTGCAGAGGAGCCAGAGCCTGTTTTCAGCAAAGACATGCTAGACCGTGGCAGGCGTGCCTCACTGATAGAACCAATTCTTCCACCAATCACTCAGACCGTAAAAGAACCCTCGCCAGTGCCGCCGAGCCCCGTGATAGAACCATCCCCTACTCCACTAAGCCCTGTCAAAGGGTCCTTTACGCCGTACAGTCCTGTTTCGGAACCATTCTCCCCGCCCATGACGCCGCTCAAGGAGCCATCGCCCCTCCGACAGAATTCGATAAAGGAGCCATCTCCTCTGCCCCAGATGCCCGCCGAGGAGCCATCCCCACTGCGTCCGATCTCCGTGAAAGAGCCATCGCCTCTGAACCAGATACCTATGAAGGAGCCGTCTCCTCTTCATCAAGTTTCCATGAAAGAACCGTCTCCTCTGCGCCAAATGTCCGTGAAGGAGCCATCACCTTTGCTTCAGTATTCAGTGAAAGAGGCTTCACCATTCTCCCAGGTGCCTATGAAAGAGCCTTCACCTCTCCGACAAATGTCTGTGAAGGAGCCATCCCCTCTGCATCAGTATTCAGTGAAAGAAGCTTCACCTTTCTCCCAGGTGCCTATGAAGGAGCCATCACCTTTGCGTCAGTATTCGATGAAAGAAGCTTCACCTTTCTCTCAGGTGCCGATGAAAGAGCCATCGCCTCTTCGCCAGATGTCCATGAAAGACCCATCACCTTTCAAAGAAATGTCTCCCTTGCCACAAACCCCGATCAGGGAGCCATCACCAATGGCCTACACTCCCATTAAAGAAACGACGCCACAAAGGACGATGTTCATCAACGAAAACAACATCAGGCAAGCACCTCTGAAGGAGAAAACACCCGAGCTCCCAAAGCCGACAAATGCTCGACGAAATTCAATTGCCGAAGCTCTGACCCAGCTCATTGACGAGCCCACGGTCATCTTTGCTCCGCCAGCCATTAAACAAATGCCTGCCAGAGAGCCAACCCCAGTCAGACAGATAGTCCGAGAACCCACGCCAGTAAGGCAGGCCATCCTTCAACAACCTGTGATAGAACCTGCTCCCATCAAGATAGAAGCTAAACAACCTGTAGCAAAACCAGCAACACAGCCCCCGGCAGCAGTCACTCAGCCGTCTGTACCAGTAACTTCACCCATCAAGAGTGCTCCTACAGTTCAGGGAAGTCCGAAGAGACATTCAGTTCTGCCAGAACCAATGCAGATCAATTACATCCCCATAGAGAAAAGCCCAGTAGTTAGTCAGCCTCCAGTAACTCAACCCGCTGCAAAACCAATGCCCGCTACTGTAAATAAACAGCCTGTGGCAAAACAAATGCCTGCTCGTATGCCCTCCCCTCCCCCTGGCCCAGTTGCCACCCCAGCGTCTCAAAACACAGCTGCACCGCGGCTTGTGCGTCAGTCCTCACTTCCCTCGAAACCTTCCCCAGCTCAGGTCACACCTCCCCCAGCTCAGGTCACAAGTCCCCCAGCTCAGGTCACAACTCCCCCTGCTCAAAAGGAACCTGTTTCTGTCACTCCTGTTGCAAGCGATGAAGAAGCCGGTGCCTCAGCCGCACCCAGCGCAAGCGAAAGAGGAGATTTACGGGCGAGTCCTACGTCAGGCTTGCACAAAGCTCCACTTCCTTGGATGTGTGGAAGGCCTAGAGAACCATCTCCACCACCGTTGTTCGTGATGCAGGCCCAACAAACTCAGAACAGATTACAACAAAATCGTATAATGAGACAGCGCTCAGTGGGCCCAGAGCCTTCTCAAACACAACCGCTTGCTCAAGTGACCGTAACTTCTCCCCCAGAGGTTGTGCAACATCCAGGATTCTATAGACAGCGTTCCCTGCCACCTCCTCAACGGCCACAGCAGCAGCTGCCGCAGCAAATACCACAGCCGATCCCTCAGCAAATACCACAGCCGATTCCACAACAAATACCACAGCCGATCCCTCAGCAAATACCACAGCCAATGCCGCAGCAAATACGACAGCCGATGCCGCAGCAAATACCACAGCCAATTCCACAGCATATGCCACAACCAAGGCCACAGCAGATACCACAGCCAATGCCACAGCCATTGCCACAGCCATTGCCCCAGCCAATACGACAACCAATGCCACAACAAAAGATGCCTCAGCCAATGCCACAGCAGCAGGCACAAACTCAGCCGATCAGAATACAGCCAACTCGACCGCAGGCACAGCCCCAATCGCCGCAAGTGCGCGACATCCCCATCAAGGTCCAGACGGCGCAGCAGCCGCAGCACCGGCCGCGGGAGCGCATCATTCCTATCACCATCGAGAGGGATTCCCCGCCCAGAAGCACAGCCCCGACGTCCATACCCATCAAGACGCCTTCGACCCCAGCACAAGAGCACATCATTCCTGTCCATTTCGAGGGGACACCCAACGCTGCGACGAGACCCAGCTTCCAGCAGCCCAAGGCCCAAACCCGGCCAAACGCACAGCCGCAGCCCCAGCAACCTGCGCAACCTCAACAACCCCAGCAACAGCAGAATTGGGCCAACTCCCCAGGGGCGGCCTTCTCCCCTCCACAGTTCCCCTCGACGCCTCTCAGTGGGAATCCAAGTGGGGCTTTCACCCCGTACAACTCCCCAGCAGGACTGTACTCGAACAACAATGCCCTTGATGCGCTACACCAGATGCAGCAGAGCTTAGAGCAGCTGAACTCGGGTCTGCAGAAGTAAGTTGTACCCAAAGGCAACTTTCCCCCCCGCCCCCCATTGAGTAGAGCGACAGGATTCCCTCATGTAGCTACCCCGCCGCCCTTACCCCGTCTCACAGCCTGTTTTTTTCCTAATAACCACGGTGATATAAGCTGTTTCCATAGCAGATATTCTTGTATTTACAGTAACGCAGGTCAGTAACTAGGACGTCACATACGATGCTTAGAATAGCAAGATTAGTATATTTGATATCACGACGATCAAATACCTTTAGAGTGTTCTTTATAAAGTGTTGCATTCAAGATGGCGACATTCATGTGTGATATTTTCTCTCTTTTGCCTGTAACAAAATAGTGCAATTTAGATATGATACAGATAACCAAACACATTTTTTCTGTAATATTATTTTTTCAGTAGACAACTAACCAAATAGAGATATTCACACTCAATGCCAAAAAAAAAAAAAAAAAAAAACTCCCCTCAAGACACACCTAGATTTTAAAAAAATTAACATACTTCTGTACCTTTTTACAGTGCGTTCCCAAGATTCATTCAGAAAAAAATGTCGGACTCTATAACATCTCGGAAGCAACCTAGGTACAGTAGGATGGTGATGGCAAGGCCTATATGAGTTGACTTGCCTCCCCATTACGTACACTGCTGTAGAGAATGCTACGCTGTGTGCCTAATTACTTGTTAGGGAACTGACGTCATCATTGGTGCCTTGTCACTCAAAAGGATGTGTTGAGACGTAACTGTTCTGTGTGAATTCTGTTCATGATGTCAGTTCTTGAGTTTTATAGTTTCATGTTCAATTGTGCTTCCCTGATGATCTGTCAGCATCCTTTTAGAACTAACATGTGTTTTATCTTTACCTATGTTTATATTGCATAAATGTATGAGTATATATAAGACGTAATTTAAAACAAATTTCAGTGCCATATGTATTTGATTTTCCTAAATATAACTTAGCTTCCTAGTTTTTTTTTATAGTGTAGGATTTTATTTACTATTTTTTTTTTTTTTTTTGGTTATGACGTTTTTTGTACAACCTGTATACCTTTTTGTAATAAACTAACTTTCCTGTTTTGTGTTCTTGTTCTGTCTATGTTTAAGAACCCATTGCTTGTTTTCAATATGTTATTTTGTTCATATTGCTTCTGTATTTTGTCCCCATTTTCCTCTTTGGTTGTACATGTATTGTTTTCTTATTCGTAAGATTTTTTTTTTGTTATCATTTGAGACATACTGTATTTTTTTAATGTTCTCACAAATTTTATTCAAGTGCTAATCATTTATTTTGTAATTATTTTATTTAGCTTTCAACACTAGGTACTGAAAATACATTCTCAGATAGTAAAAATCTGAAATATTTAACTCTTCATTGATTACTGTTTAATTTTCTTCGTGATGATTTTTTTTACAGGTTAATGTATATGCAGTTAAGAAAAAGCCAAAAAATTGACAGTTTTACATTGCAAATAAGAAATAAGCAATTTAATTTACGGGAAATCATCAATCCTAACATAACTATTACGCAGAGAAGCTTTCCATAACGAATATCATCAAAGTCTTTCCATAAGAGTCGGCCACTTTATGAAAGCTGCCTCTTAAGTCCGGTTTGTTAGAATTGAGCCAGGCCCGACCCAGTGAATTTCAATGAATACAGATGCAGAAATAAAGGCATATCTGTCTATATATCTGATAGATACACATTTAACCATCTATTTGTCGGGTAGATATGCATGTCCAGACTGATAAATATACATTTATTTCTTTATTTCATGCATGACAAGTATACGAATATTCTTGGGGTCGGGCCTGGCGCAATTCTAACAAACCGGCCGTTAGTATCAAGCCCCTTGCACGGGCCATTCAATAACGATATTCTAACACTGGCCTTGGTTATTTCCAGCTCGCAGCAACGACCTCAGCAAAACGGCAATGGTGTCCCAGGGGCCCCAGGTGACGTTGCAGCCAACGGGGGTGACTTTGCCCCCGTGCAGTCCCGCTCCTTCAGGGTCCTTCAGAACGTCCTCGACCATCAGGATACCGCAGGTAAGGACTGAGGTTCCTTCTAAGGAAGCGGACGTTATACCTATAGGAATATTTTTTAAATTACTGTTTTCTTATCGAATGAGTCTTAATGATATAACATACTGACGTTATCTTGTCTTATGTACAACGTATGGGGTCTGCATTTGTTTCTGATAATGTCGAGATAGTTCACATATGAATCATCAGTGGAAAAATAAATTTGATGTGTAAAAAATGTTAAACAAGTATGATTTCATTTCTTGAAAATCTGCAGAGAAGGAAATGCTAAAGGAAATACTAAAATGTGATGAATTTTCTTGCTTTAATAAATAAGGAAGGTAAAGCCACTAATATTGGAAATGTGAACGGCTTAGGTCTTTATCGAGAGTGAGTGAGTGACTGCTGTGACGTGTGCGTGTGCGTGTGCGTGTGTGTGTGTGTGTGTGTGTGTGTGTGTGTGTGTGTGTTGTGTGTGTGTGTGTGTGTGTGTGTGTGTGTGTGTGAGAGAGAGAGAGAGAGAGAGAGAGAGAGAGAGAGAGAGAGAGCGAATATGCATGCATGTAGCATGCATGTGTGTGTGTGTGTGTGTCTGGAGGATGGATAGACAGTGAATACCCTTGTTTTCAACACCAAAGAATGATGCTAAAGACACCACGGTAAATGTTCCAGACGGGCCATCCAATGGCGCTCCCATGAAAGTGGAGGTTCCTTTAGGGTCCCCAAATAGAGGGCAAAATGGATCGGTAATCCACTCCCAGCCGAGGGGCCCAAGTTCAAATTTTAGAAGCGCCATTAACAGCAAGGGAGTCCCAGCCCAGCATAACAGGGGCGTTTGGATCGATGCTCCGCAGCCGTACAATAGCGAGCCAAAGATCATACAGCAGACTAATCCTGGACAGAGGTCCCCCAGCATTGGTACAAAAAACCTGCCCAATAGTTTCAAAAATAAAGGTGAGATTGGAAGCGCAAAAGACCCCTAGATCTGTATCAATGAACAATATTACATGAATTCATAAATCCTATTGGTAAAATTATTTCTAGTAAAAGATACAACAAAATTGGACTTTTAATAATCTTATCTGGTACTGCAGTGCAGGTTTCTGTTAATAATGACGACACCCGAAGCAGAGGTGGTCACTATACCAACAGAAATGTCTGGGCTCCTCCAAAGACTGGTATGCAATATGTACAATACGTTATGTTATGCACATTTTGGTGGCGGAAATCTTGGAACTCTCCTGCATATTAATGGGTTGTCTTGAAAAGGTGACGGTTTCTTGTGGCAGAAGGAGATTGTGGTTTGTTGGTGATGGGATAAAGCACTTTTTTTTCGTAAAGTTTGCCTTTGACTTACGAAACTGTATTCTGTTGTACATTAAAGGCAGTGAACGTTTGGTGTTTTCTTTTAAGTGGTATCCTTCATTTATGTCTTTGTAGTTTTTATTTATTTATTATTATGATTTTGCTCTGTGTATTTAGCATCTTTTTATTTATGTATGTATTTCCGCGCTGATATTTTACATTTTTGTTTTGTCCAGCAGAGCTCTTGTTTGGTCTGGTGTTGGTCACAGTTATTATAAATCACTTTAGTTCTGTTAAGTTTTCTTTTGCAGAGAACACGCACATCTTACGCAAGCTTTGAAATTCCTGTTATCTTAACATCTACGTTTATGATTTGATGAGATATTCTGCAATTGGTTATGATTTTCTTATTATTTCTTTCAGTCTCGCTTCGTAATACTTTCAGCTTCTCCTTCTTCTAACTCTGTCGTCCTCTAACAAACCCTCAGGTTCAGATGATGAAATCTCCAATTATATGCAAGCTCATGCCCCCGTGTACCATGGAGAGTTCCAACCTCCACCAAAACAATACAGGCCTAAGCCAAACCAGCAAAATACTGTTTATCAGCTAAATAAGCAGCCTATAAAACAAAGCCAGGCGCAGCAGCAGTCCCAACCGCAGCAACTCCAGCAGCAACAGCCCCAGTCTCATCCGAGTCAGCCGCAACACGCAAAGTTGCCGCAGCAGTACCAGCAGCCCATGCCCTTTGCTATGAGGCAATTCAGTGAGTCGACACCTAGCTCTTCTAGCCCGACCTCCTCGAAGTTTTTCCGAATGCTCCAGACGATTACTGATACTTTGCCTGAAGGAGCTGGTATGGGGGCAAACAAGTGACGTTTTCTTTGCTTGATGTCTCATCTTTGTGATACACCCTACCCCACCCACCCCCTCTCTCTCCCTCTCCCCCACCCACCCCCCCCAGCCTCTTTGTTGCTGTGTAGATCTTAGTGATAAACATCCCCCTTGGAAACCTTGTGATATTTGTGTGTACATTTGTCCCTGTTGCTGCTACACCCCTTTTAAAAGCTGATGGAATGAGAGCGACCTGTTATCCGGCTCATGAACTTGTGAATACACGCTTCATTAATGACTCTACCTTGGAAAAAGATTGACGTGGAAGACTCTGTTATATAATTATAGAGATACCAGGTTATTATCAAAACTGAAAATACATATTCAGGATATTACGAGTGGTAGAAAGACAGTGGCAAAAAGAGATCATGATTAATGAATTTAACAGAGCATCCTTGAAGATTAGAGATGATTATGTTGACGTTTGTAAAAGAATAACGCTATTTTTCTTTAGTTCAGGTTTCAGAATATGACAAAATTGGGTTATGTAACAGTGGAAGAATTCAGTTAGATATATAAATATCTTATTTATAAATTCAATTTCTCAAAAGATAAATTTAGTGATGCTATTTATGTTTCAAAATGTATTTAGTAATAGCAAAAGGAACTGGAAAACTTAGATGTATAAACAGACATGTGATATTTATGCTTAGTCTGCCTTAAAACACTAATCTAAATATTAAGCATTTTTTCCTCAATAATTTTTGAAGAAATCCGTTTTATGATTAAAATGGTGTTTTTTTCTTTGTATTTGGTACTAAGCAAAAGTACACTTGAGCTGTTATTTATGTCCATAAACCTCACTGCATATGTTGCATGTATATTTAACTTCCTGTCCCTATTGGTGGTCCAGCATTAGAATAGAAATGTTCCTTCCCTAACTCGTATGTGACCCCAAGACTGTCTTCATAACCAAAATAAAAAACAGTCTGTGCAAGATTATTAACCATGTATCTGGATAGATGATTGAACTAGCTCTTAATATGCAATAGACTTTCTTTTATGTGGTAACTGTAGTCGCAGTAATATGTTGGAAATGAAGTATACTCTTTAGTTTTAGTATAAAGATTGTTATGATAATTATAATTCCCATAGACACACCTATACACAACTGTAATAGGTAGAAAATAATTGAAAATCATGCATCTTGACCCAATAATTTGATATGTATCTACATATTTTTAAAGGTAGAATAACTTGTAATGATGAGTATATTTTTGTTGGTCTTTGTTTAAACAGTGTCTGTCCACACTGACAATAGAATGACCTGATATATGTTATCATGCACACAGCATGGTATGGTAATGGTGTACCCTCTGATCCAACCCTGATCTCGGAAGGATTCTCTGTTACCGAGGCCAAATGTTCAAAGCTCATAACCCTGATGTTCGTCTTATCCTGTTCACTGTAGCTTTCCCTTATCCAACCTCCACAGAACCCCAGGGACCCGTCCACATCCCCAACATTAAACCACAACAGAAGGTGCAGCAGTTTCAGCAGCCCCAGCAGTTCCAACAACCAGGCTAGTATATGGAGTGTTACGTTTTAGCATTCTACTTGGACTGAACGGCTAGTTTCGTGAATTCCGGTGCCAGAGAGGAAGGTGTACCCATGCTGCTCTGCTTCTCGGGTGTATTGTAGATCTTTACAAATTGCTAGTTTATTTTAAGAGTTTCATAAGGAATATATAGTAGAGATTTCTTTTTATATTGGTATAGGGTTGGGTGGTGTGTCTCTGACCTTTTTCGTTTTCTTCACATTCAAATATAAGCATATGGAACCTTTTGTTTTTCATTTTGGTTACTTTTTTGATGAGCATGAGATTGGTTGATTATTTGAATCATCTACAGCATCTGCAACAAAGGTCATTAGCGGCGAATACCTTTTAGGATTAAAAGTAGTTCTTAATTATACGAGCGACCAAGGAAATTGACAAAACTCCGTATAAACTAGATATAGAAGAAATGATCTGATTTCTGTGACTCGTATTAGTGTGAAAGTTTTGGTAGAATTTGGTTTACTTTCAATGCATGGGAAGTCAGTATCAGTTGATAAGAAATCTGACAAAGGCTTCTTTAGAGTGGATTTTGGATTTCTTCAGTATTGATCATAGGTTTTGTAATCGGGCAAGTCAGATTTCATGTCTTAATGGTAGCCTGAATGCAGTCCAGATATTTTCTAATTGTGCAAGAAATATTGACAGCATCAGAAGTTCGGTTGCCTAGGATATGCAGTGTGTAAATACACATATGTTAAGTCCATTATTAAAATTACAGATGGTTTTACATGGGTATGGAATAGTCATAGGAGTCTAATTTGCATACCTTCATGCTATATGATTAGATGTGGTCTTTGAGTGATTTTTTATTTATTTTTTTTTTATTTTTTTTAAGAATGGCGTTTTTTTTTTTTTTGCAGTTTAGCATCAGTGTTATACTGTTCTAAGGAGAAATGTATTTGTATATGAGCAACTGTGTGGGTTGTGCTTTTTTTTTCGAAAAAATCAGCGTTTATATCATTTTAAAGGAATGCACTGCCAGTTTATTTTTTATTTCATTTCATTATTATTATTATTTTCTTTGCTTAAGGCCTGTATTTTTGTTTAAGTAATATATACTTTCATGCCTTTTAAAGAAAATTTAAATAATGTGCAATTTTTTCTTTTGGTGGGAGAGAAGTTAAAATATACATTGCCGTGTCTTCCTTTTATCATTCTAGAATTCAAGGTGTTGCAACATAGTTTGGTGGATTTCTATTCTTATTATTCTCTCTCTCTCTTTCTCTCTTTTCTCTCTTTCTCTCTTTCTCTCTCTCTCTCTCTCTCTCTCTCTCTCTCTCTTTCTCTTTTTTTTACAACTACAGCTTCTACAGTGTTTTTATTGAGGTTTATTTACATCTTGTACTTTTGTTAATGTGGTGATAAGGCTGCCATTGACACACATATTCCTTTCTCTTTTTTTCCCTTTCTTAGAATTTTTTACTTTATCTGTATTGTGTCTACAAGATACACCGTTCCGCATTTTCTAGAAGAAAAAATATTGCACTTCTTCGCTTTTCTAATCGAAGTTATCCACTTAAACCGTTTTTGATCAGTTACACATATTGGTTAATCTCTGAAAAAAATATAAAGCATAATGCTAGATTTTCACAAGATTGGGATTGGGTTTCGTAGCATCCATGAGTAATCTTGCGATGAACAAGTTTTAAACATGTAAATTTGGATAAAGTTTCCTTCATCTCTCCTTGGTATGTGGAGATATTTCGAAAAGAGTAGAAAAGCAATGAGATATTTATATGAAGTGTTAATTTCTTTTTATTTTTTCTTGTTTCTATTCTTTTTCTTCTTTCTTTTACCGTAACAGGTATTATCTCCTGTTTCGCTTTGCTATTCGTAATATGTCTCATTCATTGGTTCCTTGTGTGGAATTCATGATGAACAGATTGCAACGGGAACAACGAAGGGAAGGACAAGAAAACACACGAATATGCCGAAGGCCTTTTTGCGATTTTCTTTCGTTCTTTCTTTCTTTGCTATATTTACTCTATTTTCCTTCGTCAGGGCATCTTCGTCAGAGCATTAGCGAAAAGGCCTTCGGCATATTCGTGTGTTTTCCTGTCCTTCCCTTCGTTGTTCATTGGTTCCCGTTCAGAATGCAGAAGATTTCTCAACGGCTCTCTCTCCCAACAGATGGTCTGAACAGTTCGGCGCCCTCAGACCAAACTGTCCCTGAACCCAAGAAGTACATGGGAGGTAATATTCCTTCTCGGTCATTCAGGATGCTTCAAGCCATGACAGATGCTGATGATGGTAAGGCTTCTGCCATAGACGTGTTTTTCATACAGTCTCTAAAACGTTTTTTTTTTTTTTTGCCAAACCCACAAATGACAGGCTGGGATATATTTTTTTTCCTTATAATTCTTTCTGCTTTTTCTTTCTATACGAAAAGGATTTTTTTTTTGGGATTGACGCATAAAAAAAAATCCTTTTCGTCTCTTTTTTTCACGAGTTTCTTTGAACTAGTCCTAATTGGGTGTGGCTTAATTATTTAGAGAATGTAAGACAAACATCTATAGCAGCAGTTACCAAGGCCAAGAGCTTTTCTGCCTGCTAAGAGTATACTTTTTGCTTCCAATTGGATAATTTAACATGATTTTGATTTTGGTGTGTTTTCTCTTTTGTTTTGTTTTTCATTTGTTTTTGTTTTTCTACTTGATACTAAATTTCTCTTCCGTTGCATTCATTATAGAGCTACATTTAGAAACATTGATTATAAGGGATGAAGACCATATACAATTTGATACATTCCTTGATCATCCTTTACCCTCACTTTTAACTGGTTAAAAATAATATACTGACGTACAAAATTTATATAAACCAAAAATAGCATATAAACCACATGCACACATATACTCGCATAAACCACACACAATTACGAGTACGCACACGCACACCACAGAAACACTACACTACACTACACACACACACACACACACACACACACACACACACACACACACACACACACACACACACACACACACACACACACACACACACACACACACACACACATACACACACACACACACACACACACACAAACACACACACACACACACACAAACACTTATAAACACACACACACACACAAACACACTTATAAACACACACACACACAAACACACACACACACACACAAACACACTTATAAACACACACACACACACAAACACCTTTGCTATTTGCTTAATTTTTATTTCAATTCTGTTCTTCATAGACCTAAAATGGAATTTAGTCTTCAGTGCAAATTTCAGTTGATTATTTACTAATGCACTTATTATTTTAATTTGCTTATTCTTAATGAGACTTTGTAATGATAGAATATTTTTTTTCAATCTAGTTTTGTTTTAGATTTTAAAATGAATTAGTTTTAATATTCATTAATCGCAGGTTGGTCAAAACTTTTGAATGATGTCAAAATAATTTAAATTTTATAGAGAGAGTAAGAATATTGTTTATTTTATGTTCAATAACTTTATGATGAATTAGTTTCGAGATATGTTAAGGCTAGGCAGGTCTGGGTCTAAAGAGGAGAAAGAATATAATCAATGTTCAAAATTGTATTAAATACTCTTAATTAAATCTATAATCTAAACATGACAGAACTCTACAGGGCAGTCACAATAAGTCCGTAGTTAGTAAAAAAAAAAAAAAAAAAAAAAAAAAAAAAAAAAAAAAAATATATATATATATATATATATATATATATATATATATATATATATATATATATTATATATAATTTCAGCTGATATCATTAGATAAACTAACTAAAGACTTAAAAGTGATTGCCAGTTATCTTTGATATTAAAGTAAAATCATCAATACGATTTATTCAAAAAGTTAATTATCGATTGTTAATTGGAACATAATTTTTTTTCTTGTGGTAGGATTATAACACGTATGAATTGTTAACGAACGGATTGTTGAAGTGAACTGGAGAAACGAGAAATATGTTTCTATATATATGTAAATTTGTAAATTGTTTTTAGATATCGTTGTATGTAGATTGGAGATGCTTCATTAGTTATTAGTTGCCTTTTTTGGGAATCTGGGGTTTAAAGCAGATTTACCGAGCATTTTAGAGCTAGAAAGAAGAAATACTTTTAAGGCATTTGAAGGTTTGGTTACAAGTATTAGCATTTCTTTGGGTGTTGTCAGATCTTTTGGAATATTTTGATATATGTCTGCTCTTGCTGGATTTCACCATAATTAAGGGAAATAATAATATTACCACAGTAGACACCTTATTTCATTACAAAGTTTTCTTAGCTAAATAACTATAAAAAGTATATATTGCAATAACTGATTTATATGACAATACAACAGCACAGAGTTATCCAGACAATACCGTTATAACAAACTATAACAATCCTTTCCCATCAACAAAACTGTTTAATCCCAATGCTAATATTAGCTATAAACAGAATATACCATATCCTTCATAGCCATCCTGTTTCATATTACAAATACGTATTAGAAAAAACTTTGTAGGAAAGGTATGAATGAGAACAAATAATGAAATGACACGAGAATATGACACAAGATGACACAGCATGACACAACACCGTGTAACAGAATAGCATAACACAACACACACACCACCTCATCAGTTATGTAATTCTGATGCAGATATAACACTATCAGTTACATATCTTGTGTTTGTTCTCATTCACACTTATTCTACATTTGTCACAGTGATCCTGTTCAGATAAGCTTTATGTGGGGAAGATTGTTGCTTATTTGCATATTCCAGTCATTCAGACCTAGATTTGGGTATGTTTTTGCTTACATGTTTTATCAATTTTTCCTATCACTTTATGCCGTTTGTTGCTTATCATTTTTTCTTAAACAGTATGGCTTGCTACTCAGAGTTCCCATCTCGTTTTTTGCCTGGACTGTGGTTGACCAGCCTTTTCTTGCATGTTCTTTGTTTCTAGCCTCAGACGCCGGAGAACCTGCCAAAGGGTCAGAGGTTCCCAGCCCGCCAGGTGATGACCAAACGCATGCCGCCAGTCAGACCCCAACTCTTGAGTCCACACATGTCACTTCCCCCTCTGTTCTTTCTCCTTCCATAACACTGACTGAAACCAACGACACTTCCTCGGATAGTGGCATTTCATCCCCGTCCAAAATTTCCCCTTCGTACACCACCACGAAAGACAGCAGAGTTTACAGGAACGTCGCCCCCAAAATCACCTTCACGGGGCAGAGGAACACCCACGTCGTCAACTCAGCTCTCAGCAATGCCAGGGACCCTTCGTCTCCTTCCTCGCCAACATGGAAGTGCCCGAGTTTCTCTCATTCTCCTCGGTCTCACTCGCCCGTTTGCCAGTCACCGTCGCTGCCGAAATCTGCCGAAGATGAGCACGACTCTGGATCTGACAGTCCGAGGCTGATGAAGATCATCCGGCAGGAATCCACGAGTCCGCAGAACACCGAGCGGCGCTACGAGGGGGCTCACATTCCTTCGAGGGTGTTCCGTCACCTGCAGACAGAGTACCCGGCATCGTCAGGCGAAAACAACGAACTTCAAGAGCCGAAGTCAAGGGTTAACTCCAAAAGTCCATCTCCTCGTTATGACGGAAGTCCAATACCCCCGAGGGTTTTCAAGTCGCTGCAGAATGAGACCAATTCAAGCTTTGATTCCGATACGACTGACGGCGACACTCCCTCAAGAGCATCAAGCTCCTTTGCAGAACTGGAGGAGTACTACCACAACGGGGTGGCCAACACACCCAATGCAAAGGATACCGTGTTGAAAGAGCTGACGACGCAGTTTGATAACACAGGTATCAAAAAGAAACCGAGAGCGGCGCCAGGAAAGGTCTTCCGTTACTTGCAGACCCAGTACGACAATGCGGCAGATCCCCAGCCTGAACCACAGCCGGATCAATTGCAGACGCCGAGTGATGAGGGTTCAAGCTTTGGTTACAAGGGCTCGAAGGTCCCCTCGCCCTCTTTCAGGTTCTTGCAAAATCAGTACCACCAACAACCAGACGAGGAGATTCCAAAGGATAATGAGCCGCTCACACCAGACGCCCCCACGCATGAGGTGGAGCCCACGCCTTACAGAGGAGGCAGACTTCCTGGAAAAACATTCAGATTCCTCCAAGACAACATCACCACCCACCCATCCGTTCTTCAGACAAAGAAGTAAACGTATTCCATGCAGAAAAAAAGGAAAAACTCTCCCATAATTTTGTGTCTATGATGGGTATATATAAACTATCGCATACATTGTAGTTTCTGATAACTTTCAGGTGGAAAGATATATCATTCTACAATAACTACAGGAACTTACAAAATGGAAATTTAAATGAAGTTCCACCAAGGGGACCAAATTAATGCATACCTTTATTGGAGACTTTTATAATACCATCTCATTTCCATTTCTATCCCGTTGTTGTGAATTAAAATACAACTAGTAATAGATATCAAAACATTCTAATGGATGAAACATTACACTGAACCCCCCTAAAAAAAAAATTATTTCAATTTGAACATAAATTGGACAACGTGACTACCATGTGCTTCAGAAAGTTCCCACCTTATTTACAGAAACTTGTTACAGTAACTCTGTCCTTCCCAAGAGATGGCGCTAGTATGCTTTCAGAATTGTGAGCTGTCATTTATAATTTTATATTGAAATGTATTTATTACTTTTATTGTGTACACATAAGTAGTTTGTTGTCTAAGATGTATTA